CTAGCAATAAATAGAGATTTGCTTAAAAATCTCACTTGTACAGCCTCCCAGGTAGGAGAGCTTTTACAGAACGGTCATCAGTGTTTAAGCACCATGCCTTTTTAGGCTGCTCAGAGAGCTGTGGGAGTTAAAATAATGTTCCTGCTGTGTTCATACTCACAGTTTTACTCCTACTGGAAAAGCAAAAGCAAAGGTAGTGTAATTATGGGAAAACTGAACATTGCCTGGGATGTTATCACTTTAGGAAAAAAACGTCAATACAGCAGAGAGCTTAAGTTATCTTATTATTAAATGTATTATGCATTCACAGTATGTGTCGTATGTTACTCTAAAGAATTCTCTCCTGTCATCTCATACATTTTAAGAGTAAATTTAAAAATAGCTCGCTTAAAGAATATGACAAGATGATAAGCAGCTAGAGTTTTTTTTTTTTTTTTTTAACACTGACAACTAAGTAGATGATTAATGAGTTTGAAAATAATGCTAACACATTTTGCTAAGATGGTACAGAATTGTTCCAAGTAATCTTCCCTACTGTTTTCTCCTGTTATTTTATCCTGCAGTCTGTAGTACATGTCTTACTCTATTTGTTCTAGAATTTATAACTGTTGCACATTTCCCAAGATATGCGGTACATGAGAGAAGATGACCTTGAAGAAAATATAACACTAAGAGGAAACACTAACAGAGAAGTCAGTATCTGTTCCCATCTTCAGCTAGAGCTCTCTCATTTCCAAAATCCATCAATATTTAAATATAAATTTGCTATTACTGAATTTTAATGTTCACGCCTTCTAAATTGCATCTCAGCTGGGACTCGAGCAGAATTTAGGCAATGAATCAGTGATTCTGAATACCTGTTCTCTCTCTCTTTAAAACTTTGGACTAGAAAGCTTTCTAGGTTTCTACTTCTGGATGGCTTCACCTGCTCAGAAGCCTACAATACTGAGCCGTGTCTCCCTATCACCTAAACTTCACCACAATTTAGAGTAAGAGTGGGAGTGTGCCTAATTCTGCTTAAATTACTAGTGGTTTTGATCCCTTAAATATATCTAACAAATCGACAACGCTGAAGTTAGTACTCCAGCTCAAGGGCTGCTTATGCATTCTTTACTAAAGAATAATCGGATAAAAGGGATAAACAGAACTGGAGCTTGGTCTGGAAGTCATAACGTATGCCCTACTGTATCCTCTTTCAAGTTCAGAATTAATTTCAAAAGAAAAAACGTACCACAGGCTCAGGCAGTCTCAAACCCTCCTACAGAAGGATGAGCCTAAGAGAAAAAAACATTGAAATGATCCAGCCAGAAACTCAGCTGGCAGCAGCAGAGAAAAGTGACAGAAGTAAGGTCTATGAAGATGACTTTTTCCAGTTCTTCATGGTATTTTTTTACTCTGTTGATTGGCTGTCCTCTGCCATTTCCTTTTTTATTTTCTAGCTATTTCAGTCATACTTAAAATCAGCTTCTGACTAGGCTGCCCTTTCTTCCAGTAGTATCTTTTTTCCTTACGCTTTAACTTTAATTATTGTTTCAACTTGCAGCTATTTTCTATTTTTTTTCCTCAGTGTTACCAAAAGCATTAACACAAAGGAAAGGAAAAAAGGAAAACATCATATTTTTAAGAAATTATCATGTTTTAAAACAACACTTATTACCACTTACACAGTCCACTTCTGTGCTCGTCTTCCTTTATTACTTGGAAAGCTCCTCTGGACAAAGATTTTTTTCTTTAGATTTGCACACTGCTTGACAAACAAGGGTCCTGACCTCCACTACGGTTCCAAAGTCCTCTTAAATTCAAACAAAAGTGATGTGACCATTCTCTATTGATCCCCGAAATCCCTGGACCACAATTTGGGCACCAATACCATAGGAAAAAAACATTCATGATACTGAAGAAAATTTCAGTTCATAGTGGCTAGATTCATCAAAATAGCTTAACAGCTTAAACTTTTTTATGGGCTCTATACAACATAATAGAATACATGAATGCAAATAAGGCCTCACAATTATTAGCATCATCTTTAATTTTTAAAGCATTCTTTAGTCTAACTGCTGTTAAAATCATGTCTACCAATAAAAATATGAACCCTTACACTAATATGCAACTAGGGCTGAAAAAACAGGTCATAAAATGTGTAATTTTACTGGTCTTATAAATTGATTTTGGCCATTATTGCATTACACATAATTCAGTAGGTGATAGAACACGTATTTGGTTAGATAGCTGATGTATCCCTGAAGAATAAAACTATAGTAATACATCACTGTGCCGCAAAGGTGCTATAGACAGCAAAAGAACATTTTTGTCAACTTCATGAAATAAGAGATCTATTAAGAATTATTTAAAGCTTCATAAAGCACCAGCAAAATGTGCAACTGTCAATAGGGGTAGACATTAATCTTTCCATCCCCTTGAACACACTTTCAACACATTGTGCTCGAGTATACCAGACGCGCAGCATCATATAATGACTACTGCATGTTAAATCGCTGAGGAAGAAGTGAACCCTTTAAATGAATAAATACTCCTTGAGAAGCAAAGGTCCACTTAAAGAAACATCAATATCAGAGGAGAAAAATTCACAGGAGAAACTTTTCTCACTGCCTTCTAGATTCAAGCTCAGCTATCTTGCTGGCTTTTCATATTGAAAATATCCCCCTATTTAGACACAGGGGAGGAGTTACTGTTGACTTTAAAATCATCCATGCAAGTAAGAAAGCAGCCCTACCGCAGTATAAAAATACCATGTGGAATATTAGATTTCATTCTCACTTTCTTATCAAGGAGAATTCATGAATGGAGCACTTACAAAACTAAGAATATGGTAACTTAACAATCCTCAGGGTACAGGACTTTTCTGTTCAAACTGTGCGTGAATAAGACTTACTGATCTGTTAAATTCATAATTTTTCAACTAGCATCATGTATTTATACAAAAGCACTTCTTTCAAAACAGCAACATAGTACACACAAAAGTTTAAATAACAGCATAGGAGACAGATTAACATATATGTAAACTAGCAGCAAGCTACAACTGTATATCAACATAAGTCACATTACTTTATACCACCTCATAATTAGCAACAAACTAGCAGGTCATGATGAAATCATTTAGCTCTCCAATAACAGAATAAAAGCACAGTGCTGCCACTTTCAGTGATAATTTTTCACAGAGTTTGATGACATCAGGTACATGAAAACATGCCAAAAATGTTTTTGATATGCTATAAAATAGAAGAATATGCAGCCTATTAAAATTGCAAGTTTTAATGACAAAAAAAATCATTTTTCTCCACCTGAAAGTATATTATTATTTCCACCTCCATTAGGTCTTTCATGATGGGTTCTAGGTGAGTCACAGCCTGTCCCCATTTTTCTCCTGCTCATGAGAAGCCTCCCTAACGCCTGGAAAGAGATACCTTTCTCCACCAACTTGACAGTCTAGACCATCTTCCCACAGCAGCTTAATGAAAGACGATTACATAGATTTCTGAGGAGACCTAAACCTTTAAAGGAAGTAATACATGGAGACAAACACTATATGTACTAAGTGTATCATGCTATCTAGGTCCTACTTTTAAACCTAGCTGCCCCTTCTAGAAAGAAAAGGCTCAAAGAATTAAGATCTCATATTAATTCTTCCTGTTCATGTATTCCTTATAAAAATTCACTCTTTTTCTGAGGTAACTGAGCATGGTAATATCACATGGAATCTCTTCAAACTGCAATGGTAAGACATTACAACTTGAATGGACTTTAAAAAAAGGTTTATTTTACAATTATTTTTGCTCCACTCATTGTGAGCAATGAACAATTATTTTTACTCTATTCATTGTGAAGATCCATTCATTGTGACCTTCACAGAGAGACCAAAAACGGTTTAACATCAGTGAGACTGGGAAATGGATTCTCAAAAAGTGAACAGCAGCATCCTCCCCATATACACACTCGGGTGACCTTCTTCTGGATACTGTTAGGTTGTTAAAACAGCACAGTTACTACCTTGCAATGATCACGCCAAATAGGATTATTTTACTCTTATTTTTGCTGATTAATAGGACGGTAAATCAAGTTTTAAAATCAGATTAGGTCGTTTCCTTCTTATGTATCCTCACCAGAACTGAAGGTTTTGCAAAAAAAGTTTTCATGCTCTGTGCTTTTATCTGTGATCTCACAGACAAACCAACAGTAGTTATAGCTACGTTGCTTTCAACAGGATAGCAAAGATGAAACTAATGGTGTTACGGTACACGCTGACATCTCATTTATACAAGATTTAATTTTAAAAGTCTGTTCTCTCACTCAAGTTCTTTTCTGAGTAACAATGTGAGGAGACAATTTTAAGGCTGCAGATATGATTGCCAACACAACTATGAACAGATTAGCCATTAGCCACAGTACCTTGCCATTTTTTTTGCATAGCCACTTTCAGAGCTGATACTGTACAAGTAAAAACTGTTTTATTCATTAGAATGAATATCACACAGGCAAACTATTTTCCAAATGAATTACACTTCTCTGAGGGAGAAGAGCATTGTTAGGATTCATATTCTTAGCAAAGCAAAGCAACAAGTAAAGAAACAGAGGAATAGAAAGCAAATTATCACTTAAATAGGGGTCTCTGTAGGTAACAGGCACTATTCTACTCACTAAATTTCATTTATAAATGCAGTAACATTCTTACTGTTTTTGCAAGGAGGGTTTATATGGAATGAAATAATACCTCCGTGAAATATCATGATTGATCATGTGTTGCTCCCATATTGCCTCCTTTGCCTAACTGGAACAGCAGGTTTAGAACAGATTCTTAGTGTGTATAGATCAAATGACAACTGCCAAATGATAATTAGGAATGCAAAGGTTCTCTTAAAACAATTAATCTGGATTTTTAATCTGAGCATCTTTAGCAGCTAATCAACGTTTAACCACTGAAGTTAATTTCACATTACAGAAAATGTAATTCCAAATTCTTTTCTGTCAGCAGAGCGACTTACCTGTACACTGCCCTCCATTTGTGGGATCCCCATAGTATCCTGGCATGCATGTTTCACATTGTTTTCCTGTTGTTAAGTTTTTACACTGATCACAAACGTTACTGTTGATGCAGGTGCTGTGGCCATTACACTGGCAAGCTAGAAGATAACATTTAAAAAGCCATTACTAAACCGCTTTTGCAAATAAAATCATTTGTACGTGATTACAAAGTTCGCTGCAGAAGGCAATTTTGAAGAGCTTGATCCTGACTGCTGCCCAGCATATATATTTATAGTTTGACACAGACTCTATTTAAAATAGCACTGAGACAAGACATTAATTCACAAAAGACCACAGAGGTTGAGCACCATTGTGACTGATTGAATCCAGTCCTCGTAGACTTAAAAAGCTGTCTGGTCACTAAAGAAACCTGTTAACTGGCAGTAAGTCACCAACACTAAGTGAAAATTCCCATGCCTACATGCAGTCTGCTGTGAGGTGTTACAAGGCTACGGCAATGGAGAAAATCAACAACACATACACAACCACGTATCTACTGGGGAGAGAGGCCATGCCAAAAAAAAAAAAAAAAATTAACCAAGAGCACTAAGGGGTTTAACAACAGCAGGAGCACATCAGTCCCTACTCACAACGGCTGGTGAAATTAAAAGGAATTTGTTTCCCAAATGAAACAATAGTAGAAACCGCTGATCTTCTAAAACGCTTCTACTCTCTCTAGCGCTCTCCGTTTTCACTACACTCACAGAAAGTAGTGGTAACTATTGCAGCAAAATCATATGAATTCTGCCAAAATATTTGATCCCTTTGTCAGGACTTGGCTAAAATAGCAAGAGACAGTATTTTTGAAAGTAGTTTTTACCTCTCTATAGAATGGGACCTGAAAACCCATAGGGCTCAACATATTAGCAATATGTCAATTACAACAGCTTGCCAAAAGTCAGATTACGTCAAAACCTTACTAGTTAGTGAAGGGTGTTTAAGACTCGGCAGAGGACAGCTATTTCAGTAAAATCATTATTTTTCTTTTTAATTTGGATTTTTAATATAAATGTCACTCTGACTGGTTCTTGTCCAGAAAAAAAGTAGTTCTCACTGCATGATTTAAAAGTTTTCAGGGCTAGTTTAGATTTAGTAACTTAATACATTTACAGTCTTTGCCAAGCTTGTCTCTGAAACCATTAAACCTTGCAAGCTTATAATTTGCTCTTGTGACGAATCACAAAAATAAACATTTTCCTTAAAACTGTAAGAAACGGACAAAATTCTGCACTTTATTCCTGAGTTTTGTGGAATCAGGATTTTTACTTTCTCCAGTTAAAAGAATTTCCTAATTTAATTTTGTGAAATATTTCATTGAGCTCCAGTCTGCATTGATTTCATTTGCATAAACTTACTTTAGGTTTGTTAAAATGTTTCTGAAGAATCAAATTGCAAGAGAATCTTATTTAATTGTAAAGGCATAGTTGTTCAGTACAAATTATTTCCTTTTCAGATTTGTTGCCTGAATCATTAATAACATTTTACAAGCTCAAGAGATAAAGTGCACAGCTCATACCACACACATAAGTTGTTGTTCTTTCAGTGCCTGTAGTTGAAAAAAAACATTTTGCTTCATTCAAAACCTGTCAGACCTTCTCACGTCATGCTATCTGTTGCATAATAGTTTTAAAAATTTAAACAGACAGAAAATGAGAGTGAATTTAAAACAGTATTTACCAATACAATTGCCCAGAGGCATTTTAAAGCCACAAAGAACCTGGATGTGAAATACAAGAAAAACTCGCATATATACAAACATGAATGGTTTATCCCATTATTTATTTTTATTTTCATCCAAATTACAAACTGTTCAGTAAGTTCATATAGATTTATTATCAACTCCATTATATTGCAAGCACATCAAATGAATGTTTTCAGATTATTAGCTGTGCCAGTATAATCCATTAAAGATGCTATTTTGTTAACAAAATGAAAACAAAAGCCTAGGAACAAAACCTACAGCCTATATCAATCAAAATAAAATTTCTTTTGACAGGAAAATTCAATTCTATGACTTACGTACAATTTGCCTCTTTTAACAAACCCATAAAATAATGTTCTTCAAAACTAAAGTGGAACCTCAGTGCAATCTTGGTCAGAATGTATAATGAATATAGGATTTTATCTATGAGGAGTAAATATTAAACAAATAAGGTGCTGAAATCTTTTAACTCAAAAATATTTGGAAAAATCAAGATATATGTCCATTACAATTTCACCAGGGACAGACACTGTGTATTCCTGTAAAAGCCTAACAATGCACTTATCACTGAAGTATCTGCATTTTAATGTTCAAATTAAGTACAGAAGTTTACAAATGATGTAACATAATGCAATATCATTCTATTTTTTTTTTCCAGAAAATATTAGCAATGCTTTTTTTTTTTTTGGTTAATGGTATTATTTGATTTAGGACAGTTATTTTTCGGTTTTAACTTACATAATTTGTCAGCTTTCACTTAGGTTTACATTTAACATCATTATTTCAAATTGTAAAAAAAAATTCTAATATCTACCCATTCATTTAAGAAGGGTCACCAACATAAAACTTTCTTTAGAGATTCTGCTCTCTAAATAATATAGTTATGCACAAAAACACACATGTATATATGCATACACACACACAAACAAAAAACAGTCTTTCTGATGAAAAGAGTAAAGCACCCAGAAGCACAAAAAAACATCTCAGCATGTATCCAAAGTTATGTTCCCAGAGATGCTCCAGCTTCCAAACTTTTCAGCAGTAGGAACACTGGCTGGAAAAAAACACTTTAGCACAACTATGCTATTCATTCTAAAAAACTCTCTTTTTCAAACTGTCTTTAAAATTGTATCATTTATTCTGTATGGAGGCCTGTGAAACTCACCAGTATGCTTTTCACTTGGCTGCACTACTACACTGATGCACCTACACTGCTTTCAGGATCTAAGTATTTTCATACTGCACTATGTTAGGAGTCTGTACTAGCTCAGTTTGCACTAAGCTAGAGCACCTGATGTCTTGCTTATTTATCTAACGAACCTAAAAATTAAAATACTATAATCAGATCAATATGCCTCAAATTAGACTTTAGAGATTACAAAAGCATACCTTTTACCAAAAATGTCTAAAAGCTATACTAGCGGCACAGCTGACACATTTGGCAGCCTCGTGATCCATTTTCACAGCCAGCTGGACTTTATGAGCTCAGCTGGGATGCATGAAGCTCCTGCTCCTGGCCATCAGCAATTGCCTATAGATAATCTCCCTCCAACTGCACTCTCCTGTGATGGATATAGATGCTAGAAGAAAGTGAAAGCTGAAGCTGACTCACACTGTTGGACTTGAAAGAGTAGAAGAACAGAATGGATGAGAACTTGCTTACAAATAAGCAGTAGGTTTTCATTAAACTATTTGCATTAAATTTCACATACGAATCTGCACAAAAATTAAACATGTATTTACTAGATATTGAAACAAAAGAATAAACTGTTTATTTAGGAAATAATTTGGAAAAACATGTATCTTATGCAAATGCTAATTGTATTACTCAAAATAATTATGGTAACTTTGAGAGCCTAAACTCAGGAACACTTAAATCCTATACTCTGTAACTCCTATTTGATATTGTAATTTTAGGCATGCTATTCAAACAAAGAAAAGATGGAAGACAAAACAAATTGGCATATCTTACCTGGACATTGGATAAAAGACCACTCATAGCTTTTCTCTTTTGGACAAAGACTAGCATCAAGCACCATTTCACTGGAGTGCATGCCAACAGGCTTCATTGGTCCTCTCGATGATCCTTCCAAACATTGTCCTTTCCCGGTATTGCTGGGATCGTTACACCATCCACATCCAGGCTGTTCCAAACATTGCCCACAGGTCCTCAGTCCAGAGCAGTTTTGAGCTTTATTACATAAAATGCAGTATTAATGCCAGTTTTGTTTTTTTAATAAGATGCTAGGATTTTACAACAGCTGAGAAAGAAATTATTTACATTGCTGTTCCCCGGTATAAATTCAAAATTTTCAATAATATTTTAGTAAGAATATCTCCACGCTTACTTTAAAAAGTTATATTACTTCAAAGATAGCAAAGCATGAACAGGTTATACCCTAAGGCAACAAAGATTTCAGATAACCTGAGATAATGAAGCAGAAAAGCACTATTACACATTGTCATCAAATTCCATGCTGCAGTTTATATTTCCTGCTTACATATTTATAGCTTATGTGATGCATATATTTACATTTAATTTTACTCATTTAAACAGTCTTTCCAACAGGAATACTCTAGTATTCTAGATTAGGTCAATAATCTAAATAAGAAGAAAGAAAAAATTGTGACCATTCAAATTCAAACCCAGAAATGTATTTGGCATGAGTGATTCTATGATGAATCTGATATTTTGAGTATTCATCTACAGACATAACTCACTCTTGTGAAACATAACTTCTGAAACAAGACAGTATAATATATAACATTACAGCAAAGGATTGTTAAACTACAAATCATAATTCAACCCCGTTTTAATGAAACTGTCTTCAGAGTCTCTTGTCTGTTACAGTAAGTCAGTTCTTATTTACCTGCACACTAAAATCAAATACCTATTTTCCACTGTACCCTTTTTATTAAAATAGTTTCTCACAAAAACAGTCTAACTCATATTTGAACAAATTTGTTTAGAAACAATTAAAATTCATACTCTGAAGTTACTAGCATCTCTTAATAATAACGAACTACTGATTTCATACATTTAGGAATATTATTAAGAATTCACAGGCTTATACGAGCTTTTTCTGCTACGCCTAACACCTTTAAAAAATTAAATGTTATAACACAATCAAATGACCATCAGACTCATTCGAAAAACGGGTCACTGTCTCTTCTCACATCAACTTCGCAGACACTTAGAAATATGTATTTTAGAAGTATACATGAAGTTCAGGAAGCCAGAATTAGTCTAAGAAGCTTCCTTTCAAAGTGTTTTGAAATTTTCTTGTGGAAGACACTCAACAGGATACTATACTGTCATAATTAAAACCTTTAAAATATCTTGCAGAGGTCTACATGTAAAGCTAGAACAGCATGATGATTCATTTCTTTTATATTCTTCCCATTAAAAATGTAATTCTCAGGCAAATACTAGGAAAAAGATGAAGTTCAACAGGAAGTACATTTTAGTCTGTGCTAATTCATAACGCCGGCTTGAAAAGGAAGCCTTTACTGCCTTGTGAGTTATATCTGTGTATGCACACGCACACCCCCCCATACTCAAAACAATGACACTTTTATTGCAAATACTTGGCTAGTTATGTACAAACTATCTTATGTAAAATGCTTTTTATAGGAAAAGTAACAATCAATAGTAAATTTTGTAAGAGAATATACAATTTGGACAATGAACTGATGGCAAATATTCAATTATCGATAACATAAAAAGTTTTCATAATGATAACATTCAGTTCTGTATCAAAATGATTTCAGAGGGAAAAAAAAGGATTAGGTTTACCTAACAAAAAAGATCCAGAAAAGGCCATCCATAAAAGTTGCTATTTTTGAGACACATGCAGAATGAGTCAATTAGCAAAGCCTGATCACTCTCACACGTGTCTCAGAGAATGAGCAAAAAATTTTGCAGTCCATAAGGGAGACACATCCATCTAGCCATAACACAAAACCAAACAGCATTAGACTTGGACAACCATAAAGGTCGAGTCTTCCTCAGTTACTGGAGTGCTTTTAACATTTTTAAAATCTTCAACAAAAAATTTTTAACAGGAAAAAAATCATAAACAATGACAATTGTCACAGGATTTTCATATAGATTTTAAAAATCTAATTAGGAAAAAGATATGAAATATAACGGAACAAATTTTTCTATAGAAAAATCAAAAAGAAAAAAATTACGGACTAACAGATACAGAAGGTAAGGTCTACATAAGGCTGAATAATCTCATGTGAAATAATTTTAAATCAATTCAAATGTGTGTTTAGGATTCTCAAAATGACAAACTGTGAAATGATAGAGTCCTGCTAGTAAACACAACATTGCATAGTTCCTGTTAAGAACTTAAGCTAGAATTTAAAAATTATTAAATAAAATTTACTGCAAATAATGGGAGAACTTTCAGGAAAGACTCTAGACTTAAACCGACTCCTTAAAAGGATTTTTGGGTAAGCAGTGAAGCTGAGTTTGGAAACAAGGATCTAAACACAAGAAGGTGCAATCTGAACACTAGGAAACCTAAGCATGAATATAAATAGTCAAAAGAGAAGAAGGAGAATTTACAAATAAAATGACAACGAACAGCAAAAGTTTCTTTAATGATTTATATATGTGTGTGTCTCTATATGTACACGCACATGCATGTGTATGCACACACACACACCCCTCTAAAGAGAGAAAAAAAATGAGGCCACTAAAAAATAAGAACAGAGTAAAGACAATTTAAGGAACTAATTTAATCATGCAGTAAAAGACATAGATTATTAGATTAGGGGCACTTATACTGAAGTCAAATTTGTGGTTATGATTCCAGTTTGGACAATTTTATATTGACTGCCGCAGCATCTTCTTTTGGTTATCAAACGTGAACTTCTACTTGTTGAAGCGTAACTGTATACCTCATCACTTCCTAATCTAGCTTTCTTCCAACGATTCAATTAAAAAAAAAAAACCCTACTTATTAGAAGTGGCTAGCCTAACCCCACAGCTTATCCTGAAAAAATAGTGCTAAGAAGTGACAATATATCAGATACATCCCTGGCAGCGATTGCAGTGATAAGCAGGGAAAACGAGGATGGTAACCTCTTAACGTGGCTCAGCTGCAGCCAGAGCACTATATCCACTAGCATTCCCTGCTGGCTAGAGGACTCGATGCTAGAACTGCAATATTTGAATCCACGTTATAAAGGTTAAGCTAAGCAGAATGGTTTCATTTTTAAGTAAAGAAATTGGCAGCAGAGTAAAGCTAGCTACCCTGACCTCAGCAATTATTAAAACTGTTTTAAATTAGTAAAAGTATTCAAAGTAAAATATTCCGGTAGTCTGAAGATATCTGCAGATTTCATGAAAACAGGCAGTCAGTATTCAGAACGAGATCTTGAAAGAACTTTAAAAACCAGGAAAGCTGCAGCATGAGCTTTTGTAATGGGAGGAAACATTTTATAAGCATCCCAAACGTGGAAAAAGGAAAAAACAAAATGGACCTCAAATGATCTTGGAAATCAAATCTAATTAACCACGTGACACAGATCAGCAGAAAACCAGGCCTTACAGTTCAGAAGCTCAATGATACAGATTTTGGGTTTTCAATACAATAGAAGAGTAGCAGACACCCAAAGACCATTCTGTAATGGCTTCCTTCCCCTTTCAGAAATGCAAAGTAGATGAGCTATGCAATTTTCAAGCTGATATTTTTACAGGTAGAAGAAAACAAATCTGATGCTTCAGTTGCACTATCTTCATGGAAGAGAAAACAGAATAAAACTGAAAATCCTCAGATATTCTGTGCAGTGGCATTGAGCTATAAAACTGAAAAGAACTTTCTCCTGAAAATGAGGAGTTATTGTTTGCAGCAGAAGGGGCTATTCAAGGAGAAACTTCTTTGCCTTGAAATGCTAGAGGTGGTCCAAAATTGTTCTACTGCCAGCAACTCAGTATAAAATTGTAGTGGATGGAAAACATGGGGAAGATTAGAATGCAACTTTTTGGCAAGTAGGTATTAAAATGACAAAATGTCATCAGTACAACAGTGTTCTTTATTTCCCTTCTAAGCTGTGAAAATAAATATAAAGTTCTCATTTTATGTGATATTTTGTCTTTTAAATCATGAATGCCTGTGTGAAGTTTCTTTTTCATTCACAGCAAAATATCCACATACTAAGATATCAGTCATGACAAAATAAAAATATACGTTTTTTTCTTTTTTTTTTTTTAAAGATGTGGCTACATTCCATTCTTCAGATAAGCACAAACACTATGCCTTGACAAGAGAATGCACCTAATACCTTATTACCTCATCAACAGTCAGGATAAATCTATCTAATAGAATTTTTAAGTCATCTAGATTGAAACAATATCTGAATCATGTTTCATTTGGATATTCATTTTCTTGTTTCACATGCAAAATATTTACTGCTTTAAACTCTGAAAAAAATCTGTCATTTGTTGGACAGAAAATGAATTTTTATACAAAATTGCCCTTAACATAATACTGAATTGACATACAGCAAATCCCAGTTGGTTTATTTAATATAAAATTGTTACAGACCTGACACAAATGACAAACACATTAAAAATAATTTTTTGTATTCCCCATAAAAAGAGAATCTGCATAATGTACAAATAATACACTAACCCAAAAACAGGATTATGAAGCTCAGGCTGCCATTAGGTATGCAACGTTCAAAATCTAAGCATCATTCGTACGGTGGTCTGTCCATTTCACCTCTAAATTTTAAGTCTTACTATCTTCTGACACAATTAACTATCAACATCAAATAAAAGTTCCAATGGATTGGAATCATTTACAGGTGGAAAATATTTTATTTAAGTCTTTAAGGACAGTAATTAATGAAAATATTAAGAAGTAGTATTCTGTAGGATAACGTCATACATTTTTTTTCCTAAATAAAACACAATTGAGACAAGAATATAAGACACAAGGCAGCCTGCTTCAGCGTCTGTATGGATTATGGCACCAATATACGCTGGAACTGCATGGCACTGAACTTAACAAAGTCTAGTTGCCATAGACTTGGGAAAAAGTAACATTGCGAATTGTACACTGAAAGACATATTAAGGATTCTTCTCCTCAAGAGTCATTGGACTGATTTCTGATAAAAAGTGCTTCCAAAAGGAAACGTTTGAGGAGCATCTTTGCTGCTTGACAAAACAAGAAATCATCTGCCTTTTATTTCAAAAGGAAGAAGTAAGCAATCTGCTAAATTAATACAACCTGACCAAGTGTCACACAGGACAAAAGTATTCTCCATCTCCTTTCATCTGCCTGACAGTCTAACAGAATTCCTGCTATTCCGTGCAGAGGGCAAACAATCTGCAAGCATTAATAATCAGCATTTGCAAATAACAAGTATGAAAAAAGGACCAATATCATTTGTTGTGCAACTGCATTACGATATTTTCACAACTATTGCTACTATTAGTAGCAGATTATTTTATCTTTGCAAGCCAGAAAAAAGGACTACTTTGAATCTTTTGATAAAAAATATCAGAATCTTAAGTCTCTAGGAATTCAGCTCATCTTTTTTAATAGCTACATTTCTGATTAGTCTAAGGCCTATATATTATTACTCTAATTTTATCAGTATTTCATTCCAATTCATAGACATCGATTGAAATTCTAATACTAGCCATGCAAAGAAACATGATATTTTTCCATATTTGAAAACAATAACCACTTTTTATTGGCTGTTTTAAAAGACTGAATATGTTCCATTATAAAATAATTGCCAGTACTTTACCTGTGTCCACATAATACATACACAGTACTGACTGCTGACATTAGTAGCTATATAAAGTCATTTATTTGAAATCTTTTTTATCTTTCGTGAATGTGCTAAATCCTATTCATATAAATGTTCTAAGTGGAAAAAAATATATAATGTGATATTTAATTGAATAAACATTCATTAAGATACTCACGGGAACATGTGGCTGTTTGCCATTCCAGACACTGTCCATATGGGAAGGAGATTATATAGGCATTTGAGTCAACACATCGTTTTGTACTGCTGCACCACATACACTCCATACCATTACTTGTGCAGTTAGAACACGTTGTTCGCAGGGAGCATGGCTTTTTGCAGGGTCTAGCATTCTGATTGGGACTAACTGGAAAAGAGCCACAAAAAATTCTAAGTTTGAAAAAAAGTTCAATTTTTTTTTTTAATTATACGCTCTATTAGCAAAATCCTTGCTAAAATGAAAGTGATTGCTTCCTTAATTAGTTCTGAATAGTTAGTCCTGGTTTATGGTTCATGATACAAATACAATAAGCTTTTACAGAAATTACTAACACTTCTCATGAGTCATCCTGAGCCACACTATAGCTCTAAGAGTCCGTTTAAAAGTGATCATGGCAATTTTACTTACACGCTGAGACAGTAAATTTAATATTCAATGCTTGGTAATGCCAGTTTAGTTACTTGCACACACATGATATAAAATGTGTCTCAAACTTCCATAATAGGTACAGTAAAGTTCTGGTCTATTGTTCTTGTTAGTTTAATAGTGTCTAAGCAACAAATATTTTCCTTATGGTTTATTTATCCCTTAGAATTTTGCCCTATAGCATACATAAGAAAGTCACTGGCACGCAAAGGGATAACAAAACACTATTCCGTGTGCACGAGATTTTTTTCATGCAGAACTTCCATGCCCTACTCTTGAATTATTCTTTGATTTCAAATAAAACTGTAAAGTGTGCAAAAACAAGAATATAGTAATTCTTATACAGGAACACAAAAGCATAGATAGCGCTATATTTTCCACTAAACAAGGGCCTTGCAGTACGTTGGAATTAAGCCCTTATATCTACTGCTAGGTTTTTGCATACTACTTATTCACATTCAAAACCAGCCAAGTTCTCAAGACACGCAGTATCTTTGCTAATATTCCAAATCACTTAACCAAGGCTTTTCCTGGATTTGACCCACTCTACATATATTCAAGCTTTAGTTTATTATTAAGAAAAAATTGATTGAATTACTTAAGTACTCTTGTACGCCAGAAGTACTTCAGCTTCTGCAGTCTCTGGAACAATTCGAGTACACAAACACACAAACACACACACACACACACAAACACACACACACACACACAGACATCGGTAACAGATGCACATAATGTTGATGTAATTGAAAAATAATGCATTATAAAAACGTGTCATGTGTGTTCCACCTAGCATATTCTTAACATTCTGAGATCTGTCTTACATTGTGGATGTATCCTTTACTCTCCCGAGAAACATCTGATAAATGAGTACATCTATTAACTTTGCAACACTGTGAAAGATGAAATAAAAAGGAAATACAGATGGCAGTAACCACAACTGTACAATATTTACTTTGTGATCGTATTACTATTTGGAATTATTTATAAGAAAATAACAGGTTGGTGAGATTATGCTTTAGCTATGCAAGTAAACAATTCCAACTGAACCTCACAGCAAAGACATCAGATAGAAGGCAATGGTCTCAACTTACAGCACAGCAACCTAACTGTTTTCCAGGTTTGCATAGACAACAGACAAAAATTTTGAAAAGGGAAGGGGAAATTTAAAGACCTTCATGTGGTCAGCCTCGCAGCTATGAAGAGTATCATGGGACAACTAGAACATGAAAATGGTACTTTTGAAAGTATAACCTGTTATGACAGGCCTACTATCACGGATTGATCAGAGTTGAGATTTACTTCTCATCAGCAAATGAAATAAGGCAGATAAAAAGAGAATAGGCTGTAAGAAACTCTGAGAAGGCAAAGTTTTATAAAATTCTTAAAAATAATAACCAGATGTCCCTTGTATTTGCAGTCTGGACTATGAGCAAACCCTTTAAAAGCTCTAGCAACACACTTTGGTGACCTAACAGATAATGGAGCTTAAACGGACCCCTGGTGGGTCCATGTACAATATGAAGTAGATCTGATAGCACTAGAATCTAGCTCCCAATTACACAGCATATTTAGCCTCCTATGCAGGACTGCTCATAGTGTCCCTGAGTGATGACTGCTCTAGCAGCCGTCACTGGTTACCAACTCAGACCTCGGGGACTCATAAAAGGGGCATGCACTGCCGGGCTGTTTAAAGGAGTCACTCTTTATGAAGGATGGCAGTCTCCTGTGGATTTGGGTGGTTTTCTTGATTTTGTTTTTTCCCATTCTTGAAAAGAGAGGCTGATATTACATTCAGCTAACATAGTAGCTTAAGTTGATTTAGTAATTTTAAGAGAAGGAAAGAAGAAAACTGGAGAGATTACATAGGGTTTGCTCCCACTTCTTTCTTCAGTCTCTGATACTTGGTAGCAGCCCATAAACATTAAGCTTCTTTAAGGAAAACATAGCATCATGGTTGGGGGGGGAATGAGAGCCCACCTGGATCACAATTACTCCCTTTTGAAAGCAATCGCTGATCTCTATCTGCAGATTATCATAACATCACAGTGTATTGTTACTAATCATATTACATAATCGGGTTTTTCTTCCTGTTTATAAAAGTAAGGGCGAAAAATATTAAGTTTTAACTGCACTTAGGTAGATGTTAGTAATATTCTTGCATTTCTTAGCCCCCTTTAGATACTATTTTGAACACTGCTTCCATGAAAACGTCACCATAAAACCTAACATAAGGATGTGTGCTTATACATATATATATATACACACACATATATGTAGGCACATACATAACTATATCTATATTTAATTATGTATATACACACACAAATACACAAGCATTTATAAAAATATTACTCAGTGTGTTAGCCTACATAGAACTTTTACTTCTGAAAGCACTTTTCAACTTTTGGGTGTAATAATTATGTAGGTATTATCAGCTCCATTTCGGGGTTAAGGAAAACAATTTAAGGTCATCAAATTAGTTGCCAAAGACCACTAGCAGCAAATTTACATTTACTCTAAAGGGATCATGTTTAAACTATGTGACTCAAGTCACCAGATTACATAACTTTCTTTTCACATTAGTTTAAACTAGAATTACTTGTACCTTCATAATTCTAGTCTGAAAACTGAAAGAAAAACTCTCCCTAATTCAAGGAACTTTTCAAGTAAGTACGTAACAGAAGCTTAGAGTAAGCATAGTGTCAAGTAAGACTCTGGAAATTCCACAAAATAGTGTGTACTCTTCTGTACTCTTCAACATCATTTACTTAAATCATCAACGAAAGAGCAGGCCTGTTGAAGATAATGGGAATACCTGCATGATTACAGTTAGTTCTGGACAATCTTTCGTAATGTTGGAATGTCGTGAGTCAGACAAAATCATGAACTGCAATCTATTTAATCTTCAATTATATTCTCAGAGAAAGTGAAGTCACACCATTTTGGTGTGTTTATTAATCCAGATCTGCCCCTGAGATATAAACTGCAAATTACACCACAGATAGGATAGCTGCACTGGGAAGACCCTTTGGTGTGACCGAGTATAACCAGTTTTATGTTTTATGATGTGATGAAATTCAGCCTGTAATTTTCAGCATCCCTCCTTTAATGCAAGAATGGTACAGCTAAAAGGTAGCACAATAAGATTCTTAGCTTTCAGACAAAGAACTTTTGGTAGACAACAGTGGACCATCTCACTGAAGTATGCCAGTTAGTCACCTCTTTTCCACTTTCTCAGTAAAGCACTGAAAAGTGTCAAATCAATATCTGCCACAGTAATCTTTACACATCATCAAACCAAAAAGATGGAAAGAATTTCAGTTTTGTCAGTCTTCCAGATTGTAAAAATGTTCACTGATGTTCAGTGAGATTCAGAAAGACGACTTGTTTTTGCAGCATCAGCCTTGTTGACCATCTCCACAGAATCTTTCACGCTGGAGTCACTGATGTCACTGACAACTACTGACTTCAAACCAAACTACAAGACTTCTGGTAAAATGTAGACTAAGCCATGTAAGCTAACTAATAAATAAATATTTGCTGCTTTAAGAATATGATTTGTTTTCTAGATTAAAAGTTCCATATTTTTCAAGAAATAAAGCAAAACTTATTTTTCTAATTTAATCCAAATTGTACAAAATCCCTTTTAGCCAGATGAAAATCCAAACAGCTGGCTAATCACGATAGTAACAATAAGTGGCTAAGAAAGATTGCTTACCAACAGGTTTTTCACAGACAAGACCATCTGCCATCGCAGTACATGGATTCGCTTTCAGACCTGCCACCTCTGCTCTTTCCAGGTATGCACAGAAGCCAGAGTCGTTTGGCTCTCCAGGAAGCCACTGCAGAGTCGTATTTGTAAAAGGAGACATGTCATCCCATCCCCAGTACGAGATGTTGATCTTCCGTAAACCTACCCAAGGTGAAATTTTCTACGAAACAGAACAAAACAAACATAAGAGAATTAATTAATTGCCTTTCCTTTTTTGTTAAAACATTTCAAATAGCCTAAAAGGAAACGTTTCAGTTTTTGAGAGAATTAGCAACACTTTCCCCTTATCTCATCAGTTATTGTCCATATAGTTTTTATCTTAATTGTTCTATCTTGCTGAAAACCAAAAAAAAGTATGCTCAGCTCTATTTAAAATATGTCTGTTTTGATCAGTTAAAGTCAATTCTGACTCATATTAATTGATAAAGAGCTAGAAACCTGACAGAACGCTCATAATGAAATTGTGTTATTTCCAATAGTTGCTGTATAGATTACTAATTGCAGGCCAACAAGGGTAACATAAATACGGAAGTTCACAGCAGCACATCACAGAAATCAAAGCTCAGAATAAACAGGACAAATATTCCATCCTCTAAAATCTGTATTAGCAATACTTATCAAAATACACTGGCAACTGAGAGGCATAGATGAAACGCTTGCACAATCACAATTCCAATGCCAGTAAATATACATAGGATGTGCCATTACTATTGATTTAAAGCTACAAATAACCCGTTTAGCAAATTAAAAAAACATTAATTCTCAAAAAATAGCTAGGATGTACCAGTAAAACTGCATCACACAAATTCCCCCCTTTTTTTATCATTTCATCTTATTTTTACAATTACCTAGAGAAAAGCAGATTTTGAGAAACAAAGTCTTTTGCCTGTGCCTGTTTTAAATCTAAATACACTTCTTGCTCCTATCACTGTAGAATCTCAAGATGCTGAAAATTAACATTTTGCCTACATAATCTCTGTGCATAGGCAGTTTTTATTAACTCCAGTTCAAATCTAGGGAACAGAGATACAGAGATACTGTGGTCTGTAATGGGGTGGGAGGTGGGGGTGATATCAGACAGCCAAGTAACACAGCTATTCGGACCATGCAAATGACAGATGCTGTCAGCTCCAAAGTAGGGATGTTGATCTGCTTGTGAATTAGGTGTTCAACAGATCTAATTTACAGCCCAAAGCTTTGAGGTAAATTAGCCATAATACAACTAAAGAGAACCTGAAGTATACGGCAAGAGCCATGAGGTTTTTCACAAGTGAATCAGAAGTCTGCCATCCTCTCTCAGAAAGGTCTTTCATCCTTGATCTCACGTCTTTGGCCAGCCAGGTTTAATCCAGGGCTTAAAATCTTTCAGAGACCTCAGCATGGTTTATCTAGAAATCTCTAATAGTGCCAAACCTTGCACCTTAATTAATACTTCTTTACTACTTTGATCTAACAAACAGACAAATAAGAACAATCCTGTATTACAGCCTCTGTTTTCATTTTGGAGATTCATATCTCCCATGCTGTATAAAAATTCTACCCTGATTAGGTCATTTCTTTAAACATATTCCAATATTCACAAAACGTTGTTATTTGTTTCTTGAATTATAATAAGATATTATACTTTTAAAAAGGAATTTATTAGAAATAATGATGATCTGCTAAGATGCACTCAGTAATCGTAAATAGTTATCCTTTATTAATAATGTGTGATTAAAAACATACCAAATTATTTCTTGATCTAGTGGAACTCAGGATAGACTGGGCTAGATTTATTGGTTTTGTTTTTATTTTTTACTATATTATTTGCATGGCTTTCAACAGATATCTTAATTACACTTCTGGTAGGATAGCATTATGATTATTCTTATTGAAAAAAATCAAGATTTGTTAAATTAAGTTTAGAAGTATTAAGATTTAGTGTAGTAAGAGTGCTGCGCTCCTGCTTAGAATGTTTTTGAGTTAATAAAGAACATACAAGCAGATATACACATATACACAGGGGCATCCTTTTCTGGTCATTGCCAACTATCAGGCTCCCAGAGACAGAGTTTAAGTTTAAATATTTACAGAAACAAAATGCAATACCATTATGAATTGTATTAGACAAACATATTTCAAAAGAATTCTTATTTTATCTAAATTTGAACAGTTTAAAGAGCAAATATCTAAAATTAGCGATGTGAAAATTATATGGAACACTGTATCTTTTAATTTTTACCATTTTTATACATGAACAATGTATTTTCCAGATCAGTTTAAGAACCATTCCAAGTAAAGGTTTAGAACAGCATGTTGCATATTGAATGCTGTACATAACAAACTCTTTTTAATCCATTATTTTTATCATTTAAAATATTTCTTACATATAAAATATATTGCAGCCTAGAAAAATATATATAGATATAGCTATATATATTTTCAGTTATTGCTGATCCTTACATTGGACCTGAACACACTGACACTTGTGCAATCATTCCTGTTTGCCCAGCTCACTGGAAAAACACAGCAAGCCTAAACAGTTTCTTGGCATATAGGAGCAAATGCAATCCTAATATGTCTCTAGTAATTGTATATGAACTATAATAAACTTTGGGTATTTACATGTACGCACCTTTATTTAACTATGTATATTTATTCAACTGATATTTTGCATGATGGTCTAAAAAGAAAGATATGTCAAGGTTTATAAGGAGAAGCAATAACATCTATTAGATCAAATCATATTTTCCAGCTATATCTGTTGGACTAATAAAATATATTACCTTTACTTGCAAACCTTCTCCTATCTATTTAAGCATTATTAATGCAAAGTGAATTCATAATTTCACTCAAACAAAACGTGTCATACAAATACGCATAATTCATACATTAGCTGTATTTTTTAACCAACCATGAAAAATATCTGTTGAAATTACTGAAACTTTTCAGCATAATGCTAAAAAATCTCCAATGTATCTTCATGGTTTCTGTAACATACAAGGAAACCAAACAGTAAAAGCCTTTGCCCAAAAATTCATCTTACATTCACAAGACTTAATATAAAGGTGCAATGTGCAATCTGTGTAAGAACCCCAGCAATGCCCTTTGTGGATCCTAAATCTGTATCTAATCAGAGCAGTCCTCATCTTCTTCCCCTGCCTCATAAGCCCCCAACTGAAATATGAAGGGTTAATAATTTTACTTCAGAAGTACAATTGGTAATTACTTTAAAAAAAAAAAAAAAGTAGGAAAATTGGTATTCCTGAACTCCCAAAAAGAGCCTCTCTATATCCTCTCTCTGTTCTCTTCTACCATTTGGGAGTATAGTCAAACAAAAAATGCTATAGCATCTAGCAGACAGAGGAGCAGGAACAGCTTTAAATAAATCAGAAAATGACAAAAATTTTCTGTTCCATAAGCAGTCATACACCCTGGGAAACTCTCAAATACCAACAAGAAAATCGAGCAAAAACGTCAGCTCTCACTCTCTCATGTTTTACTTCTGTACTGGCTTTGGAACTGCACTGCTACTTCAGGTGACCAGTTTCAGAGGTGTCTGTGTGGGCTCTCAGGTTCTGGATACTAGGAAGAATATGACACAAGCAGTAAAACTGCAACTTAGATGTCTCGGACAGTGGAAGCTAATACATTAGTGACCCTGCTTGTTGTTTAGTTGCCTAGATTGCTGTAGACGTTTGTGATTCATATGCAGTAGAAAACCTTAGATATTTATGTAGAATACCGAGCATGCACACCAGACACGTTTAAAACTGTCAGGAGCTTATGCAAGATGAATTGATGACCAGTACATACCTAAATCAACCCTAAATGTCTACTTTGGGGTATAGGAATTCTAGCCAAGAGAACACTCAACAGAGTACTGACTGATGGCACTGCCAAATAATTTGGCCTGCGCACCAGTATAAAGAAAACAGAGAACCTACTCCAGCTATGATGAAAGCACATCAGGCTGATGATGAAAACTGACTGGGCAGTACCGTAATTTGGAAAGAAATTCTTCCATTCTAGTAGCAGAGTGTCTCAGAACCCCTTAACTGATGACAAAGTCACAGGAAGGATGAGGAAAGCCAGAGCAACCTTAGGAGATAAAAGCAGCATCTCTGAAGTGAACAGCTTCAACTAAAAATAATGCATAGCATACAACTGTCATCATCAGTCTTAATAGCTGCAGTATCTGAACAATTTATAGTCACCAAGTCATACATCTCAAATTCTATATGTACCATCTTCGGCTCTTTGCTGGCATGAAATATCAAAACACAAACCTGAGCACTGATTAGCATGCTATCAAGCACACACCATCAAAGCAATCCCTTGCATGCTCGCTCATGCTGCTCTGGGCACATGGTTAGGATGCCAAAAACAGATTATCTAAAGCATTTTTTATAATGTTTGATTAAAACATGGTAAATAGCTGACAAGTAAGCCACCAGAACGCTCCAAGGACATGCCTAAAGCAAATATTCAATTATGTGGCATTAATTCCACAACGTGGGAGACTACAGCTGAAGACGACTGGTAATGGCAGAGCTAATGAGCTGGTATCACCAGGGTTTCTCAGCAAAAATGACTGCCACTGTGCCGCACAAAAGCCAACAGAGGAAAATATATAGTGCATAGAGAACTCAGGAAATTCTACCAGTGGCACCTGCAGCCACCACTGTGCTGTGACAAACTAATCAAACTAATTTCTCCCCAAAGAAACCATAAGAACTAACCCTTATCTGTCAAACTGATGACATGTTCAGTCATTATAGTGAAGAGTCACAAAGTACTTGAAGCAACTGAAGGACTGGATGGCAACCCAGTTTCTTCTTCAGTCTTAAGAAATAAACAGAAGTAAACGTCCTTCACTTGAACTCTATGGCTGCTTGATTGAATTCAAAATGGATGTAGGAAACCGATTCCTTTACTTGAATGTCTTGCCCAAGATGCTCCTGAAGAGGAACAGATAGCAGTGTTCACTATAGCCAGAACTCACGGATGTCAGATTCCAGTTTTCAGACTTCTTGAAAAAAATATTATCAGAGTGGGTGAAAAATACAGTAAAAATCAACTTTTCACTTCACAGAAACACTTGCTGATATGAACTCAGTCTCTAATATATCTAGTCTCTTCTTCTCAGGGACTGCTTCCATGGCAAACCAGGTGATCTTT